GCACTCCGCCCCCGGGTCAGGCCGCACGGGAAACGACGGCCGGCACGCAACAGCGCTTGTTTGGCGCTCCAACTAGACGGGATCTATGCCCGTTGTATGTATGTATGTATGTATGTATGTATGTATGTATGTATGTATGTATGTATGTATGTATGTATGTATGTATGTATGTATGTATGTATGTATGTATGGGTTTATAGGTTCACCCGTGGCCGCTACTAGCCTGCTGGCAGTCCCTAGCTGCCTTCCCCCCCCCGGTGTTCTCGGAACACCAACCTCATCCTTCTCGCCCATGTCGATTTTTGCAAAGTTATCGACTTTTCTGGGTTCAGCACCCACCACCACCACCATCCACCAACTCGGCTTGCAGGTCCCACCACAACAGGGTGGTCCATCACGGTCCATCGGCATGGGGGCGCATCCACCCTCTTATCACACTCGTGTGACGTTTACCCCGCTCTTTATCGAGGTTAAAATCCTTGAACATCGCAGGGATACTATGTAAATATGGTTACACCTGAACATATTCGCTGTGTCTGAAGCTGTGTTCATGTATGTATGTACCTATGTGTGTGTGAAGGGGGGGAGAAACTGCCGAGAAAGGGCGAGGGAACTCGGCCCGTTCCAGGGCTGAAACTACTACCACGCCACCGTACGACAGACCGTTGGCCGTTGGTTAAGTCGTACAAACGAGAGGAGAGAGTGAGGGCTGCCACGGTACGACTGTGCTACAGCAACTCACCAGACTCCGGATACCACACGGACTGTACGACACTACAAAAAGTCAAATCATACCGTGTCTTCCCTCGCCCGCTGTCTCACGGGTTGTACTGCTGCTGCTACTGCTACCGCTGCTGTTGCCGTTTTCGTTCCCAACGCAGCGTTCCTGTTCGAGGGCGTGTATGGATTACTGTCCCAGGGGTCTACTGACCAACAGATGACACGAGACGCGATGAGGGTACGATTTCAGTTTGTACGACACGATGTATGTATGTATGATTGACACGATGCATGTATGTATGTGATCAGGCCTTTCTGGACCCGGTGGCGGTTGCTGGTAGCGCGGGGCTGGGGGCCTCCCTGCAGCTGATACACATCTACCTGGCGCCGCTCAAGCGAGCCCTGCAGGTACGGGCCGCCGAGCTGAGGGGGCTAGGGCGGAGGGGGAAGTGAAGCGGTTCGCGGTGGGGAAATGAAGGGGATAGCTCTCCTGATTGATACGTGCTGTGAGGGCTGAGTGTGATGCTGGTGGCGCGTGTGTGGTGAAGGTGTTGTGGGGTTGTGGTGCTGGAAACGGGTCGGGGGAGTGGCCACTGGCCAGGTGCACACTGAAGAGTTTCCAATGGCCCAATGGACCCACATGGGTTGGCTGTCCAGAGGGAGGGAGTTGTGCGAGGGGCACCTGGGCTGGGGTGGTACCGGTCAGGGGGGCTGGGGGGGATTTAGGCTTTGGGGGAGGGGGAAAGGTATTGAAATAGGCGGATCGTGAGGGCGGAGGGGTTTCGGTTCGACGGAACGAAAAAGCAATCTCTGAAGCCCCCGATGTCCGTCCAGCGTCTCCGGTTACAGGAATAGTGGTATTCCTATATTCTTGTATTCCCGTAAATCTTGTGCTTGGACGTAACGAACTAACGAATTGGCTAACCAATGAATTAACCAATTAAGCCGATGTAACCTATCCAAGGTCTATTGAAGGCCGTCTCGTTGATATCATGCTGAAGCGGCTGAACCACGCGACTGGTTTGTTTGTTTGCAGGTGCTGTGGGCGGTTGGTACGGCAGGTCTGCTGTACATTATCTTGACAAAGGTAACCAGAGCCATTTCAGTTTGCGCGATGTTGAGCGCTGATTCGCCCACAGGTGCCGCGTTGTCCAATATCCGTAGCTATCTGATACATTACATAAATATTTACGTTATATCCTAAAAGAATCATACCTTTTAAATGATATTAAAAGCTCCGACCTATTAAAAAGGTCGAATTTCCTCGACATGTTGAAAACGTTACTTGTTAGTTAGAAACCCAGGCTGAGTCATGATGCATATGTCTGGATCGTTCCTGTCCCCAGCCCGCCAGATTGCATCTCTCCACCCTCGTGTTGTCGTTCTTGTTGCGATTGTTCTTTCCAACTTGGCCTGTGCTGTACATGATGCACCCTTCAGGATGCGCCTGCGGCAGTCTTTGTGTACGAGCATCCGGCGTGGCTCTGGGCTGTGGGCCCCCTTTTTGCAGCGTTGACCGGTATGTACTTGGAACCGCGATGGATGTTAACGGGGGGACATTGACGGTTCGTTAGCGGTTGGTTGGTTGGCGGTTCTTAGTTATCGGCACCGGCGCTGGCCGCATTGTTGGTCTTAGTGATCGGTGTATATTTGTTGGTAGCTGTGATGAAGCTGCGTTGGTAATTTAAGGATACGTTGGTGGTGTCGGAGGGAGGGGATGGGGGAGGAGGGGGGACGGGAGGCGAGCGCGCCTGAATGGATGGTGGACGAGTGGCTGACGGGGTTGGTAGTTGGTGTGTGGGTAGCAGTGAATGGTAGGCAGTTGGTGGGCGGTTGGGACGTGAAGACAGTCGTACACCGGGAGGTTATGCACTGAAGATGGAGTTTCCTGCAGGGTGCTTTAGTTGAAGTCTTTAACGTGTGATTGAGACCTGATACGGAGTTTGCCGAGCTCTGTTGCCTCTGGCGCGTGGTCCAGTGTGTGTGTGTATGTGTGTACGTGTGTATGTGTTCCTCCTGAGACCCCGACTACTTCATTACCATTTTTCCATCGCCTCGCTCTTTTCTATTTTCTATGCCACCTCATCTCTGCCTTGCGTGTTGGTGTTTACCCCATTTGCCCACCCTCCTGGCGGCATCGGTGGTATCATTTCTCGTCCTCCTATTACCAACTAACCCAACCGCGTGCGAGTCGGCCACGTTTCGTTGATTCCTAAAATCCCCCTCCCGCTGTTCCGCTCTCCCCGCGCTCTTGGCTTTACACCTTCCAAAAACCTTTAAATCAGGTGTGGCTTTCAAGGAAGGGCTCTGCTATAATAAGTGGGAGGCGGCGGGCCTCTTTGGCGCATTGCCTCTGACGTTCGGCGGACACCTGCTGCGGCTGTTCCCCGAAAACGTAAGTCGATTGGACCGGTGACTGTTTGGTACCTAGGATATGCTTTGCAAGGATTGCGTAAATATGTCATTGGATTTATGTTATATGTGTTGTTTGGAAGGTTTATCTGAGGGGCCTTGCTTGGCCGTGAAGTTGTTGGAAATGTACCAGGCAAATTAACATAGTCTTGCTAGTAGAGGACGTGGGTGGCATGTGCACGTATGTTTCTTTTTTGTCTAGCATAGCGATGCCTGCGCTGACGTGCTCTGCGTTTCGTTTGCTTCCCGAACTCCAAATATAGTACCGTTTCTCGGTTTCTTTGGTTACACAGGTGGAGCACGGCTTACTGGCATCATGCATTGTGTTGCTAAGCATATTTGCCGGGCGCAAGTATACGCAAGCATTCAAGGACGACATTGGTGACAAATCCATCTTCGAGTAGGTTATGGTTCTGGAGCGGCTAAGGAGGCAGTCACGGATTGATAGTGCCTTGTGAACCACTGGGTTCCTTTGATGTCCTCGATCATTGTTAATAATGACTATTTCTCGTCACGTACGTTAAATGCTTATCGGACAACGTGATACGTTAGACTAGTACGGCAATGGAGGAAAATTGTGTGCACATAAGCCATATATTGTTTCTTGTTTATATGCTTGCTTTGTGCGCCATGCGCGTGAAAATGCATCTTTTCCGAAAGCTTTTGGCGAGCGTACTGCGAACCTTTCACCTCACGGGAGAAACAACCGCGATACCTTATGCAGGTTTCAAGAAATGCCGGTTGAGGAGCAGCAAGCTTTGCTTGGGCAGGATTGAGGAAGGCGACCCGCTTCGCACATCGACTTGCAGTCGCGGATTGCACTTGGTGGCATCAATCAAAATAAGCCGCTGATATCCTGAGCTTGTTCTATATGAACCCATTCTTGCCATTGTAAGATGCTTGTGCGTTCAGAAACTGGAAGGTTGGAGGGTCCGTAACTGCGAACACGTCGCTGTAAAGATATTGAACTTTGTGAGTACATACACATGAAATTTATGCAGACTGTAAACAAGTCGCAAGAACAAGAAGTCCTACACCCATGTACGGCACGAATTATTGAAGTCTTACTTCTTGTTTGGCCACTGACTGGGACGCCATTTTTGCACAACTGTCACGAATGGATTCTAGTTTACCTGTACCACGTCCAAGTAGCACTAGAGGCGGCGCGGGGGGCGCGCCAGGGGCCAGTCCTTGTCATCTCAATCCTCTCCAAGCTCTGGCGCACCACTTGGTGAATCCCCGTGGCGCCACGCATGATTCGCCAGTACTTCTACCTTTGTTGCAGGTAGGCTGTTATCCAGGGCTTCCCTGCGCTCGGTTGAGGACTTCGGTTCGCAAGGAGACTGGGCTTTGACCGCATAGCAACGCGTGAAAGCGGCGCCCCCGCATGCCTGCAGCAGGTCGAGGCCTCTCCTACTACAGGAATTCATCAACTATGCCCACCGTTGTTTCAGTCGCAATCGCAACCAGCTCGGCTGCCCTTGCCGATTCCTGCCCGCATGGAGGCGGCCTCAGGAGCAGAAGTCAGCCGGGTCGGTAACCTGGGCCTCGGCGCGGAATCGTTTTATCTTGAAAGGATCATTAGTTATAGGGGATCTGTGCTTGGCTATCAACGCTGCTATGCCAACGAAAGTCTTGGGGGTGTTGACCCTTGACTACCAGTGCCTGTGTCATGATGTGTCTGTTCTGGGGTTGAAAACTGTCAGTACTTCCTATTCCTTATTGAGTATCATATGCTGCTCTGCATAGCCATGCGGCTGTGCTATTTGCCGGCGCGGACCGTTGAGCACTTCGAGATGACGCTGTCGACCTTTCCCGCAGGTCATCAAGCGCGAGTACGAACCACGCGTTGGCAACGGAAAGCAGTCTGTTGCTAACTCTGACGGCTGGCAATGGCGGAAGTAAGTTTCTGGCGTCGCTGCGACCGCTTCAGACGGGCTTGTTGGCTCACCCGCAACTCCCTTGGCGTAGGTACGGCGAGAAGCTGGTGAAGGGTAGTCCTAATCCCCGCAGCTACTATAAATGCAGCCATCCAGGTTGCCTGGCGAAGAAAATAGTCGAACGTTCTGAGGCAGACGGGAATGTGCTTTCCACTGAGTACAAGGTCAGTGCCTGCTGAAGTACCCGCACATTGCCGGTGTGATCACGGGGGGAAAAAGAGCTCAACCCCATCACGTTTCCTACGCAGGGGGACCACTGCCACCCGGCACCACTAACCAGCAAGGCGTCGCGCTTCCGACCGAAGCCAAAGGCCGAGCAGCCTGCTATGGTGGGTATTTGGCCACAGAGGAGATTTTGCGACTTGCTGGTTGCCAGAATCGAACCGCCGACCCGAAGTTTATTTCGGTATTCGTGCGGTCCCGTCTCGATACCATTGTAACACAGCAAAGGCGTAACCCGGGATGCTCAGATTGGCATTTGCGTCGTTACATTAACGTACCATGTGGCTTCGTGCGCTCAAGTGCAATTGGATTGGAAGGCATTTTGTACAGGACGAATCTGATAGTTTCGCCGTATTCTGCAGGGGACGTCTAGCCTGCCTTCTGTGGGAATGCTCCCCATGAGCGGCGGAGGAATGCTGCCAATCCCAGACGCGCTGAAAAGCGACTTCCCAGGTACGCAGGCGCCCTATGGTATCTGGGTTCTCAACCTCATCGTAATGCGCCGTCTAATCAGCTGTGATTATAATGCAGTCTCCAATCAAGGGCCGGGAAGCCTGGCGGTTGAGCACGAGGACGACACTGAAACGAGTGAGGCGGAGCCTGCACCTGTGTTGAGATCCGCACCGCAAGATGTGCGGCCGGCACACGCTGCAGCCAATATCATCCGCAGGCTGCGGGAGAGCCAGGACTCGCCAAGCAAGCGCTTGGATTTGCTAGCAGGTACGCGTTCTTTCCATAGCGTGTTCGGTTGTCGGAGAATTTGTGAATTCTTTCAGTGAGACTCGTGCTGATCCCCTTGCAGCGTACGCTGAAGAAGCTGAACGGCAGCTGCACTCGAACAGTAACAGTCCGGAGGCTGGACCTTGTAATAAGCGACAGCGGACGGACGGAGCTGCTACACGCGCCCGCGCTCATTGCGATGAAGATGACGAGGGCGCAGCAGCGCCAAGCGGGTCGGGCACGCAGCGCGTGGTGGATATGGTGGTGAACATGGATGACGGTTTCAGGTGGGGAGGGAAGGGGCTGGAGGGGCTCTTCTCTAAGCAAGAAAGCACCCATTAGCACCGTCTCAGAAGGTGGCCAAGATTAATCAGCCATTTGCTTTCTTTGCTTGCGCCATCCGAACTGGAACAGGTGGCGGAAGTACGGCCAGAAGCAGGTGAAGGGTAGCCCCTTTCCCCGCGCATACTACAAATGCACGCATGCCGGCTGCACCGTCCGTAAGCACGTCGAGCGCAGCGCCGAGGATGAGACGCGGTTCGTAGTGACGTATGAGGGCACGCACAACCACCGTGCACCGACTGGCGGCCGACGGCGGAGTCCAAAAGATGTGGCAGAAGCCGGTGAGCTCAGTGGGTGTGTGAGGCCGCTCAAGGGGTGCGTAAAAAGCAACAGGATTGACGCATGGCTCGTCACTTTTCTAATGAGTCAAGCGCGCATCCGGGTGTTTTTCATCGTCTTCATGGCTGTTCGACTCGTCGCTTAGAGGATCCTTTTCATTATGTCCATGCAGAAGATGAAGACTTTGAAGGGGATGAAGCGGAGGAGGACAGCTCGCAGCCTACGAGCCCAAACTACGGACCGCATGGCACGCAGCCGTCTCAGGCGCAGCATCCAGCAGCTTCGAGGGGGCGGCAGGCGGCGGCGCAGCAACAGCAGCAGCAGCAGCCAGGTAGTGCGGAGCTAGGACAGCAGCTGCAGCTGCAAAGCAGCCTGTTGGCATCCTCTGTCCTGCAGCAGGCAGCGTTGACGGGGGTCCTGCCCCTCTTGCCGTACAACACCTCATTGACCAGTGAGGTGCTCGCAAGCTTGGGCCTTAGCGCTGAGGCCCTAAATGGCATGGAGACGCTGAACGCTTTGAATCTGGCGTCCGTCAGCAACTTGGCGGATCTCAGCCACTTGCTCCGGCAGCATGCACAGGTGGGAAGTGGTCGCCTTTTTATGCTGTTGCAATTAGTACTGCTGTCGCGCTCATCGTCATGCCAGGCCAGAGTCTCTTCAGCCTTCCTTTCTCAACCTTTTCTCCTGCAACCAACGCCACACCTTTCTTTGACCAAGATAAAAGCTGTTCACCAAGGTACTCGGTGCGTCTGCGGTTTTCCTACTGAAAACTGCCGCCTCCCCCTGCCCGTTCCACCTTTCCCCTGCCCCAAACCGCAGATCGATATGGCGCTCGCGGCGCAGGCGCAAGCCATGGATGCGGCATCTGCCGGCTGGGACCCGCTTGCATGCCTTATTACGCCGCGGCCAAATGTGTCGCCTGCGGGCGCCCAGTCGGGACAGGCGCAAGCGGTGCCGTCGGCAGGGACCAGCAAGCAGGGTAAGCCCACGGTGGCGCAAACGCGACAGCAGGTGGCGACGACAGAGGCGTAGCCAAGGCGCAACATCGCCATTTGTGGACATGGTCTCTGTCATGTAGACGACGCAGCGGGGTTTCGGATGTTCGACAGCCGTTTGCTGGCGCAGGATGAGACGGACTCTACGCGGCGATTCTATGATTTGGGCTTCGAAGCCAGCATTTTAAGGCCGCGTGCAATGCTTTTTTACGCTGCCGTGCTTGGTTTGGATGGAAGCTGCCGACTCAAGCGAGATGATGTTATCTGGACGCTGGTCTTATTTTGATTCTGATGCTCTCAATCAGTTTCTTGACTAATGCTTCAGTGTGACCTGGCGTCGTTAGGTGCAGGGCACGCGGGGGGTGGCATAACCTGTTGTAGCAGAGTTTCAGTGCGTGTTTGTGCAGGTGCGAGTCATTTGTATGAAGGGCAATCCCTAGGGTTATCTGTCACCTTAGGACGCATGGCAGGCATTCAGGTTGTTTAGCTGCATGTGAAATGGCCTTAGCGCAAATTGCAGCGACGACACGTCTGCTGCCAAAAGAACTGAAGCCGCCGCCAAAGGTGGCGATAATGTAAAATATATAGCATTTGCGCCATAGTACGTTTGGCTAATGTCCATACGAATCGGCCAGAGATTTTTGCCGCGTTTTATTTCCGTTTTGCCCCGAATCCAAGTTATCATTGAGAGCGAAGGTTAGTGAGATTCATGAGAAACATAGTATTTCTATTAATGTCGTATATAATGGAAGTCCAGTTCCTTGGGTTCGCGTTGCCGTACATCAGAAGTTGCAATTGCAGGTGTCCAACATTTCCCCTGCCTGTAACGGTACGTGACGCGGGCAGAAAGCTTGCTTACTGGCTTTTCATTTAAATCAAAAACATTAGTCCGGCCTTGGAATAATGAGTCCGTCACTTCTAGGGCCTATGTTGTTATACCAGAACGGGATTAGATTCCGCTCGCTTTCTCAACTCTATCGTGCAAGTCTATTAAATGGCAATGTGGACAAGGTGCTATTGACAGCTGGTGTCCCAGAGGTCCCAAACCTAGTTCGCCACTTTGCTAAGCTGGTTTCTTTTCCGTTAGCACAAACGGGAGAAGGCATCAGCGAATGCGAGTTGGTGGCGTGGTCTATAAAGGCAAGGAGACGGGGTTGCTGACGGAAGGGATTGTAGATGCTGACGTTCGCGCCATCCGGTTGAAGGGACTCGCACTGCCCTTTTATGCAAAGCTCTGTACCACTAACACCAGCGCCAACACCAAAGGACACAAATAGCGCGTTCGCAACCTGGAACTCGCTTGGTCGGAATGGCGAGCGATGGGATGTGTGCTCCCTCGCCAGCACATTCCGAAGACATGGCGCAATGTCCCATACGTTCCACCTGCCCGATAGTCCGCATAAGGCCTTTCAGAGGAGAGCCGGAACCAAATGCGCGAGACGGGTCCTCAGGCGCGTGCTCGCGGCCTTCCCTTCCCCTCTCTTGCCACCTTCTTTTCCGCCCTCCCTTTCCCGCCGCGACTCACCTCCCCTGCCCGCCCCGAAACCCAACCCCTCCAAAAATAACCTTAAAAACCCCACAAAGCTCCTCAACCCGCATCGGCCTGCCTCTGCCTTACCGGCCCCATCGCGCGGCCCACCCAAGGCTCCGGCTCTGTTCCTTTCAACCTCGCCCCGCGTCCCGCCTCCGAAACCTAACCCCTCCTTTTCCCCATGTCTGCTACCGCCACGGCCAGCCTGGCGATGTCGTCAGCCCCTTCGACAAGCTGTGCGACGTGCAAAGCGACAAGGCCGCTATAGAGATTACCAGCCGGTACAGCGGCAAGGTGCTGGCTCTTCACCACGCCGTCGGTGCCATGGTCAAGGTAGGGGCCCCGGAGGGCGGCACGTGTGCGAGTGTGAAGAGGGGGGAGAGGGGGGAGAATGCAGGATGGGATGGTGGAGGGTTAGAGAAGTTGGGAAGGAGGAGAGGCAGGGTGCAGCCGGAGGAAGGTTGTATGATGCTGTGACGGCACCAAGGGGGAGAGCGTGGGTGAGGATGAGAGGTGTTTCCGCAACCTGCGGCATGACTCAGGCAAGGATGAAACTCGGTGTTGCCTGATTCTGTTTCGTCTATTTGTCTGTCTATCTATCGGTCTGTCTGTCTTTCTACCTGTCTGCCTGTCCATCTGAACCCCTAAGCCGTTGTACATGATCACAGCGTTGCAGCTCTGCTGCTGTCGCACTAGGGGGGACTGCTGAAGGGGGGTTGTACCGGGCCGCGATCCCTTGCCGCTCGTCAGGGTCGTACATACCGCACGTGCAATGAAACTGTATTGTGCTCGCTTTACGACTTTCCGCACGAATGTACGACTGTACGAACATTCAGGTGGGCGCGCCGCTTGTCGATATAGAAGTGGCGGACGATGTGCACGTGGCGCCGGAGCACCTGGCGGTGCCATCTTCGCCGCCGCCGCCGCCGCCGCCGCCGGGTCCCGGTACGACAACTGACCTGGCCGACGCCAGCGGCAGCAGTGAGAGCGTCGCGGCCCCTTCCGTGCCTGTCACCACCGCGGCGGCGGCGGCGGCGGCGGGAGAGGTCACAATGGAGGTCGCCGCCGCTGCAGCGGCAGTACCGTTACCGCCGCCACCGTCGCCATCGCCGCCACCGCCGTCGCAGCCTCCGCCGCCGTCGCGTTATTGGCCTGCAGGACGAGCTAAGGTCCAGGCTTCACCAGCTGTACGTGCTTTCGCCAAGTAAGGCGAAAGGGTTTTAGTTTTCCTTGCTTTGTGTTACGAATCGCTTAATATTGCAATGACAAGAATGGGGTAGGTGTCCTGATCTGGAGATAGCGTGCTGGATGAGTGAGCATATATCCAAATTGAGCTGGGCTTCCCCCAAGAGTTTAATAATAAACTTTTTTATCTCTCGATTAAATGTTACATTGTTGAGTAAACGAAGGAAAGAGGAAAATCACAAATTGAGGTGATGATTTTTCATTTCACGCCGTCACGGCCGCAGCACACCACACCGCACACAGCACACAACGCAGGACGGCACAAACCCGACACGCACACGTACCACACGTACCACACGTACCACACGTACCAAAGCGCCCAAGTTCCTGCCCAGGACTCGATTAGTAAAACCAATCCTAACCAACATCGCAACCAACAAGCATCAGCGTGTCAAACCTCAGCACCCATATTCCCCCCCAACAATAACATCACCATCATCAATAACAACACTCCTCATAGGGCGAGTGGAGTCGACATCTCCTTGCTGGTAGGTACTGGCCCGGGCGGTCGCATCACCCATGCTGACGTGGCGCAGTATCTGGCGGGAGGAGGCGCCGCCGGTCTGGTGGGAGGAAGTCCTCACCGCCTGCCGTCACTGGCTGAGGGGGAGGAGGAGGAGTACGGCAGTGGCGGCGGTGCTGGCGGCGGTTCGGTACTGCATTCCAGTGACTTCCTGGCGGGTCCGCCACCGCCACCGTCAGCAGTGGCGGCGGCGGCGGGCCCTCGGTCAGTGGAGGAGCTACTGGTGCAATACACTCGACTGACGGCGGCAACAGCGCCGCCGCCGCCACGCGGCGGCGGCGGGGGGGGCGGCGGCGCCGCCAACGCCATGGCGGAGAGCACTAGCGGGGTGGTACCGCTACGCGGGTATCGAAGGCAGGTGCTCTGGATGTGGTGTGGGGTAGGGCGGGGCGGGGGTGCGGTTTTGTGTGGGGGGGGAAGGCACCCGGGGCGGGTGGTGGTATGCCGGAATAACTGCGAGGAGCCATGAGGGTATTTGCCATCCTCGATATTCCCCAGGATGGCGTGGAGACGAACCACGTGAACGAGTGAAGCTGATGCCAAGGATGTAACCAGATTCCCCTGTGCGTGTGTGCGTGTGTGTGTGGGGGGGGGGGTGCAGAAGCCGCCACGACTTGACGGGGTGCTGGGGGCCAGAAGCCGCCCGGAAGCCCAGGGCAGAGGTTGCAACTTTTTGGGGCTTATGGGGAAAGCCCGTTTTGAGTTAACCCCGGGAGTCAGCCTCGGGGGCCTCTGCAAGCTCGTGCCTGGGCCATGGCGGTGCGTGTAGATGCGGGTACGTACGGATATGATAGCTGACGTGGATGGGCGCCACCATCACCTTCACCACCACCATCACAACCACCACAACCACCATGCATACACGAGCTCCATCATATTCCATCTGAACTTCACCCCGTACTATGTACATCTTATATCCTTCACTCTTGCCGTACATTTGGCTGCCGTACGTTTGTTTGGCTCCCTCAGGGCTATGGTAACCTCCATGACTGCAGCTGCTGCCGTACCGGTGTTCCACTTGCATGATGAGGTAGTTATGGACCGACTGGTGGCGGCGCGTGATGCCATGAAGACCGACCCGGCGGCGGCGGCGGCGGCGGTGATGGGGGGCCGCGCCGCCGACACCAGTGGTGGAGGCGGCGGCCACGGAGACCGCAAGGCAGGGAGTGTACGACTAACGGTATTACCGTTAATCATCAAGGCTCTTTCGGCGGCACTGAAGCTGCACCCGCAAATCAACGCCAGTCTCTCACCAGGTGGGTTAGTTGGTTCGGTACCAGTGCAGGTGGTTGGTCGTTGGGAGTTGGTCGTTGAGTGGAGATGTACCCGTCAGGTACCCGTAGGCATCATGGAGTTGGTTTTAATAACCCGCTTAACCTACCTACTTAACTACTTAACTACCTAACTAGGGGAAACCGTCCCCGCATTTTGTCTGTTTGCTCCCCCTCAGGCTCCTACCCCTCCTAACCCCTCCTAACCCCTCCTAAAGCCTCCACCCCCGAAGGCCCCCCCGCAAACAGCTGCCTGACAACCCCTTAGCTTAAAACGCCAAAATATCTTCATGTTTTAGCGTTAATGTTTTTCTTTTATGAATTCAGAATATATTATTTGTTATTGTCCAGGATAATACTTGTTTTATAAATCCAGGATAGTGTTGAGAATTCCTCCTGCGTTACTAGCGGTTTTCCAAGCCCCTCCAAAACCCGCACACGCAACCGCAATGCCCGCAACAGGTGGTACGGAGCTGCTCGTACATCCGTACCACAATATCGGAGTCGCGATGGCGACGCCCTCTGGGTTGGTGGTTCCCAACATCAAGCATGTGCGCATTAAAAAGTTTTTACTGTTTGGCCGTTGGCTTTCGGTTGGGATTCGGTTTGCGTGGTTGGAGCACACAACATTCCTGCGGCGCCATGCGTCAGTTGCCCATCTTCAATACATATTACTATTCGTTGTCTCCTCCCCGATCTCTCCCCACCTTCGGGTGCCATCATGAGCTCATTCGGTTGTGGTTCATTTCCCTCCTCCAGCCCCCCGGAGCGTAAAATGACGCACCGACTGCCCTTTCCCTAGAGATTGTGTAACATGAACCATGAACCAACCCAAAACTTATTTTACTCCAACTCTATGATACACGGTTATGTGTAATTCATTACGCTTTACCACAAGTGCAACAACAAATAATTACAACTTGTAATAAATAAATATTTTCTAACTTGTAATAATGATAACAATAACAAAAACAATAATAAGAATACTGCTGCTGCTACTGCTACCGCTGCTACTGCTACTGTTACCCAGGTTGAGCGCAAGTCCGTAGCGCAGTTGGCCTCGGAGCTACAGCTGCTGCAGCAGTTGGCGGCGGCGGGGCGTCTGCCGGCAGAAGCCCTAGCTGGCGGGACGATTACCATCTCCAATATTGGTGGGTTTTAATGGAGAAGGGGAAAGGGGGATTTCCCCCCGGGGAGAGCAGTTTTAGGTCTTGAGGGGTTTTGGGGTTTTGGGCTGCGTCAGGGTTGCCGTCGCTTTGGGTTGCGTTGCCATACACAAATGTACGGCAAGCGAGCAGGCAGGGAAGGCCAGGGAAGATGTGTTTTTGGTGCGTGTGTGTTTTGGGTGGGAGGGGGGCCCGCCCCGGGGAATGATAGGGTTGAGAGGGACCTCATCCGTACATGGACCACCGACCACCCGTGTGTCCACCCGTCTGCCTCTTTAACCCACGATGATATACAGACATACAGACATACAGACGTACATTTCTCAACAAAACGCGGCAAAATTCACCCATTACCCAGTTCACTCGCAATGGCTCCCGCCATCTCTACACACGTATTCTGATGTCTCACTTGCCCCTCACATGTGTTAGTGTGATAACCCATTGTACTGTACTACTGACGAATTTGGATTAACCTAACACACACACCCCTTTACACACACCTCTTTACACACACCCATACACACCAACGCGCAGGCACCATCGGCGGCAAGTACGGCACCCCCCTCGTTACCCCACCCACTGTGGCAATTGTGGCGCTGGGCCGACTACAGCTGCTGCCGAGGTACCCGCCCGGTACGACAATGTCCACTGCTGCTACAGCCGCATCACCTTTTACCTACCAGTCGCTTGCGGCGGCTGGTGCAGCGGGGTCGTCGTCCCTCCCCCTCCCGCACCCTCTACCGGTACCTGTGTCTATCATGCCGGTAAGATTACACCTCCTGGGGGTGAGGTGGGTGGGAGGTAAGGGTGGGAGGTAAGGGTGGGAGGTAAGGGTGGGAGGTAAGGGTGGGAGGTAAGGGTGGGAGGTAGGGGTGGGGGGAAGGGGAATGGAGGGGTTGTTGTTGGCGAGTCCAGACAGAACAGCTGGTGACCACAAATAAAACGACAAACTGCCGTACGACCATTTAATGGCATCTGAGAACCACAATTGCTGCTACTGCTACTGCTATTTGGTGATGTGTGCTACTGCTACTGCCGTCGGCGCTGTTCCCCTTACCATTGCTACTGCCATCGCTACCGCTTTGTTCCGATTGTTGCTGCTGCTGCCGTGTGTGTTTGTTTGTATGTGTATGTGTAGGTTAGTTGGGGTGCCGATCACCGTGCGATTGATGGCGCAGCTCTGGCGGCCTTCAGCAACAGCTGGAAGGCCCTCCTGGAGCACCCGGAGCGGCTGCTGCTGCACCTGACGTGACGTGAAACCCCCACCCACCCCCCGGGAGGGGGCTCCCCGGGGCCCCCCTTTCCCCCCATCCCTTCCCTGGCACGTCGGAAGACACCAGCAGAGAGACAGACAGACAGACAAGCAGACAGGTCGATAAACAGACAGACAGGCTGCAACACTATTAGGCTTTACTCGGCCATACAGACAGACAGACAGACACCCCCACCCTGAAAGGCTGCTGTTCCCGTCTTGGTAGTATTGGGGTGTGTGCTTCTTGGGGGGTTTGCATTGGTGGGGGGTGGGGTGGGGTGGGGTGCAGTAGGGGCCCACCACCACCACCACGAGGGCCTCTTGGAGAGGTTGTTGTTGTTGATGTTGTTGTAGGTCAGGTCAGGTCAGTAAGAAGTTGTTTGGGAGTTTCTGAAAGGGGTCCTTTATTTGGAGAGAGAGAGAGAGAGAGACAGAAAGAGAGCGCGCTCTGTGGGGGATAGGCGTCGTCAGATCGTATGCAGGGGGGTTGTTCGTCTGTATATCGTGTATATCAGTGTACCTTTGTATGTATATCCATATACATATATGGCATGAGGGGTCATTTGTGTGTGTGTATGTGGCCGTTACGGTGGCCGTCGCCGGTGCCCCGCTGAGCAATCGGGGAAAGGTGTTTCAGTTGATTTACGACAACCGTTGGTGCAAAGGGTTGTTGCGATACCCTAAGTTATCGTGGTGGTGGGCGGCAACGATTATGCTGCAGATGGTGATGGCGATGTTGCTGATGGTGAGGAGGAGGAGGTTGCCATTGCTCATTTTATCATTTAAGTCTTTTGAGGACCCTTCAACCCCTCCTCGCTTCGATAGAGAGAGAGATATAAAAAGAGAGAGACAGAGAGAGAGAGAGGGAGAGGGAGAGAGAGAGAGTAGCGGGGGGGTTGTGGGAGGCGGAAAGAAGATTTTTATCTGTTTTTGTAGCCCTCCCAACCCCGTTCAAGTTTCAGTACTCTAAAGGCGTTTTTGTATTCTAACTCCCCTTTGACGTCAGCAGCAGCAGCATAGGTGTGTGTGTGTGTGCACACCTCAGTGGCGCGAATCCGTTGCAACAGTTGTGGCTTCCGTTTCCGTTGCGGTTTCGGCTTCGGTTGATCGGTGCCCGGGGCCGTTGCCAACTTTTGTCGTTTTTTTTTGTGTTGAAATACCGCAGGCAATATCAGACAACTACTAAATCTGTCGTACAAACTTGCCCACACACTTTGACTGATGTACGGCACGTTTGTACGTCAGCTCTAGTAGTTGTCTGATACTGCGGTAAAGGTACGAGATCTACAAGTTTTTGAAGTACAAATTAAGCAAGTTGGGTCGCTGGGTCGAGGGAAACATTCGGTCGCATACATACATACATACATACATACATACATGTGGTTTTGCTTTTAAAAATTGCTACTAGGTATTGCTACTGCTGGCACTGATACTGTTACTACTACTGCTGGCATTGATACTGCTGGTATTCTGGTGTTTGTGGACGATGAAGGAGGAGATCCACTCACGTGCAGGTGCGGACGGTCGCCGCCACCAAGAGGGGCCAGAGCGGCAAAAGAACGAGAAAAGCACTTGTCTAGTGACGTGTTCGCGCAACTAACTGAAGTTAGTTTTCCCTGTGGGTTAGGGGGGTTGTCCGGACAGCCCCCCCCTCCCCGCCCCCTCAACAAACCCCTTTCACACACATACACACAAACGCACACAAAACACACACACTGCCGGCTGGTATCCATTGTCCCGAGCTGCCGTACCTGCCGTACAGCGCGTCAGCCATGGAAAAATAACTCTCATGTTGCTACTAGTGTATCCCCGAGTGCGAGTAAAAAACTTTATATCCAGACAAAAGACCTGACAGGTCGGTCAGACTTGTTTATTACTCGCGGCGAATTTTGAGAACGGTTTAAAGGACATGCCCCGAAATTTGATGATAAGAGATATGCCCTTTTTCCAAGGAGGAGGCGCAGTTCACACATTCCGATTCAAAACCCCAAGAGCAACCACCACACAGCAAAACCCCAAGTCCCCCCCCCCGGTCACCCCGACATTCAATACACCCACTGACAGGCTTTTAGGGTTTTAGTGCACTGACCTGAGCCCCAAGTGTACGGCAAGTACGTCATATCCGTGATAGGCTGTTTAATAGCCACCACAAGACTCTTTTGCTACTACAGCCCCCACAAATCATAACCAACATAACGAATAAAACCACCACAACGACAATCGCCAGAGCTACAGCCACCACCTCCGTCACCACCATGTCATCACCGGTATCCAAGCTTGCGTAAAGGAGCTGCATTACTCATCGTGTTTCCCATCTCCCCCGGCCTTTTCTTTCTTCCCATTCCTTGGCCCCTCACCCCCTGCCCCCAAGCAGGAAAGCTCTACCCTGGGCACGCAGTTTACCCGCATCTTTCCCCCCTTCCCCCCTTTCCCCCTTTCCCCCCCACCCCTCACCCAGATACGTCAAAACCCCCGCCTGCCAGTCTAATACTTGACGTTGGGTTTGTCGTACTCTCCTATTCGCTATGCTACGCTAATCGCCACAGCCGCTGTCGCCACAGAATGGTGATTATTACACACTGCTCCAGAGGGCTGTAGCTACCCGCATCTCCCCCTCCGCCGCCAGGACGTACAGACGGTGAGTACAGCTACTGCTACTGCTGCTGTTGCTACTGCTGCCGGCAGGAGCAGCTGGCTCCCTCACACCACCGCCACCACCACCACGGTCGACAGCACCTCCATGACCCACATGCACGCCGCCGCCGCCGCCGCCGCCGCCGTTGATGCTATCGCCGTGGCGGTGTCTGACAGCGGCGGTCCCGAGCCGCTCGGCGCCCGACCCCGTCCGCATCCCACCGCCAGCGCCGGGGCTGCCGCGTCGGCCCTTGCCGTCGCTGTCGTACGTCTCGTCTGTGTGGGTCGCCTGCGTCTCCTCCGCTACAGCTGCAGCAACGCGTTCTGTTGCCGCCGCCGCCGACGACGACGACGGTGCCGCCGCCGCCGCCGACGACGCCGACGCCGACGCCGACCCCGACGACGACGGTGCCGACGGCACAGTAGCGGGTGGAGTAGTCGCCGACGGCGCCGAGGATGATCTGGCAACGGTATCGGTAGCGGCGCCAGCGTCTCGCCAGCGCTGCTGCAGCCGTGCCCCGGGCCCCAGCGGCTGTTCGACCCGCAACAGCCACTCGCGGCTGCAAGGCGGCGGCCAGAGTGCCGTACTGAACACGGGATTGCTGCCGTCGCTGCAGCCGCCGTCGTCGCTGCCGCCGTCGCGGCGGCGGCGGCGGCCGCTGACTATCAGGTCATCTCCCCCCCTGTCCAAATCAGTCTCCGACGGCGGCGGCGGCGACGGCGGCGGCGGAGGGCAGCTGCCGGCTAGGAGCGCCGCCAGCGCCTGCCGCGCCATCGGGCCCTCAACCCACGCCGCAGGACGCAGTACAGTACGGCCTTCCTCCAGGGACGAGCTGCCGTGCAGGGTGGCCGTCATCAAATCCGCTGCGAGGGACTTATTGCCGGGCAGCCGCCGTACGAGGCTCTCGCCGAGTACGACAGCCTGTCCAGGGAAAACACACAGGATGGGGGGGGAAAGTCAGGAGCTCTAAGAGACACTGGTAGTGAATCGTGCTAGTGGTTAAGGTGGTTGGAGTGGCAAGGTGCGGGGCAACGACCCTTATCACATTCACAACCAACTTTCCATTCAGTTTTCTCTCACTTCCATCCTCGTCTGCTCATAACGGGGGGGATTCCGCAGACTAATCTAAAAAGATGTGAAGAGGGGCGAACAAGCCAACGAACTTCCGTTTGTACGACGGCTGTATTCACGACCTGTTCCAAGTAGTGAAACTCCGCCAGCAGGTACTCGAGCTCCGCATCCTCCCACCCAACCAGAGCCGTACTTGTCGTACTCATTGTCGTCATCCTCGTCGTCGCCGTCGGCTGCTGTTGCCTTTGCTGTTGTTGCACATTATGGCAATTATCAATATTATTGTTAAGGTGTTGGTGTTGGTGTTGGTGTTGGTGCTCTTGTTGCTGCTGCTGCTGACGATGATGATCGGGTCGGGACGTGGGGGGAGTCAAATCGTGCTGGCCCCCGCTGCCTTCGCGAGCAGCCGCCGCTGCCGCCGTTGAAAGAGACGTCCGCGGCGGAGGTACGGAAGCAGATTCGTACAGCTGGGGTACGGCAGCGGCAAGGGAGTCCGCTGCGAGATTACAGCCGCGCTTGATGATGGGCGCGGAAATCCTGAATGTGTGTGTGTATGTGAAGGGGACGGACGTGCGTGGACCTTTGAAAGATTAACCGAGAGGTATGTACGTGTCAAGGTACGACATCCCGTTTTTCCTAAACATGTAGTTGCCGTACATGTCGTACATGTACACAATCTTGTCGTGTGTTTCCGACTCCGCCACGTCATCACGGCAATCTTCGCACATACGCACATACAGACATACTTCAGGACACAACAAACTTGCATGAAGATAAACAAGAACTGCGTGGAACAACCAACTAACCAACTAACCAACCTGACGTACTGTCGTAGCAGAGACGCCACCGGCGGCAACGACCCGCCGTCACTGGCCGCCAGAAGCTGTACGGCAGCTGCGAGTGCCGTACCGAGCAGAGTGTCGTACAAGTGGACCGGGGAGAGGGTCTCCAGCTCATGGAGTACTCGCTCTCCCTCCAAGCCGGGATCCTGCGTCGAGCGTGCGGACGTTAGCGGCTAGTGGTTGACGGTTTTACAGTCGTTAGTCGTTAGCGATCAGCTGTCGTTTTGAGGTCGATAACGGTTAGTAGTTGAAAACATATAATTTTACGTATGCTTGTAACGGGGGGATTACCGGGAGGTTTAATGTCATGCTGTATATCTATATGTATGTACATATAGATATACCTGTGTGTGTGTGTGCTTCACACCAACCTCTTAATTTGCTCCGCGTGTTACTCTCCAAATGCTCCAACAGACCCGCTGGAAAAGGAAAGTTATATTGCTATATCCTATTGCTCCAAAACCCTACACCGAACTACCTGAACGAACTACTACCCCGCCGTACTGGGGTTTACGCAGTCTAAGGGTCTAAGGGGTTTGCACTTTACCCTCATTTGCAACTCTAACGAATAACTACTAACTACCAACTAACACGCACCTGTAACGGTTTCTGTTTCCAAACAGGACACGCCGCAGTGCTCTCCCAGAGCTGGCGCCAAGGATTGCGGTGTACGGGGCCAATGAGGGACGTGGCGGCTGTAGCACCCGCGGCGGCGGCGGCGACGGCGGCGGCGGCAGCCAAGCCGCTAGTTGACATCGCATCGGAGCCCATCCGTGCCGAAAGCTGTACGACACCGCTACCGTCGTCGTCGCCGTCAGTGTGGTGGCGGCGGCCGCGGTGGAGCTGCCGGCGGCGCCGCCGCCCCGGGTGGTTGTGACGGTTATCTCGGCCACCGTCAGTGCCCGCCATCGTCACCGCCGCCACTTCTTCTGCTACTGCACCTCCTCCCCCTCCCCCCCCTCCTCCCCCCCCCACCACATCCCTCGGGGAGTACCAGGCGATAAAGTCGGAGTAGGAGCAGCCACCGCCCGCATTGGCGGCCTGGGGCAGCAGACGGACAGGAAGGCCTGTTGTACGGAACAATAGCCGTAGCAGTAGC